CTTCTGCAAACAGTAATGTTCTCGACTCAACATTTCCTACACTGATATATTCATTGTCCTGGCTACGCTTGACTATCGTACCCATGTACAACACAAACAGAAGAGGGGCAGAATGAAGCCGTCGCTGAAAGGAGTGTCAATGGGGAAAGGTTTCGATAAACCCTCTTTCCTCTAACGCATCACCTGCTATCAGATTACAGCGATTGCATCGCTCGTAACAACTGGCCCTTGATTCCATGTTGGCAGACATGCCCATAAACTGTTTCGTGGCATCCGGTCATAGACTGTCTCCAGCTGAACAAAGCATATATGCGTCGGATGAACGAACTCCCACGATTTCTCACATAATTAGTGTATAGCAAATATATGGCCAGAGGTGCTTCGACCTGGCCGGAAAACACACTGCTCTTCATATATCTTTGGAGTCAGTAATTATGCGGCACCACCTTTCTAACACCTATGTGTATACTTTACCCAGGAGTCTGAATATGAAATGCCCGAATTATTGCAGCGCTCTCTGTCGTCTCTCTTCTTGAATAGGGGTACAACAATCCCGGTTCTCCAGTCCGTTGGTGTCTTTCTCATAGACACTGCAGTTTGACAGATGCGTGTAAACCAGCACATGCCTTGTTCGCTTAATGATTTGAGCAGTTTAGAATGGATTTCATCAATTTCAAGAACCCTTCACATTTCAAGCTTTTCACAACTACTATTACTACACAAATAATAACATTAACGGTCATAGCCAGAATCTGTTCTAATGTTGTGCGATAATGCATACAAGTCTCTTGATTCTCTCAACCGCTGAAATTAAAACTTTCCATTTGATTCACTGGTTTATTTTGCCATCAGGTTGTCCCATGGTTCTCCATTTGTCACAGCGTTCCATGCAACATCTCTGCGCTTCTCTTAACGCGAACATCTGTCACAGAGCATCGTGAGTCAGAAAATATGATTATCCAGTGAATCATCGACCTCTGTGCACAAGCTTCCCTATATCAGGTATATTGATGCACCCTTCCATACTCGAAGGAGATGTTCATAATGGACAGTCCATTGCTTGCACAGAACCGCAACAACTTCATTCCGTTATTGTTGAGGTCGCTAAGGCCTCACTTTTCAATCACGCCTTTCCACCTTTCAGTAACCGCCCTGACATACGTATTGCAATCGACCATGAGTATGAGGGACTGCATATTCTGCACTTCGTGCAGAACACTCACCACTTCCTCTAGGATGGAGTTATATTCTCCTTCCAAATCGGAAGCATAATTTGTAACAAGGTGAACGCGCTAACTTGTAGCTTCAGCCAGAGGATTGCCACTATTTCACTGATAGGCTTTCATTCAATGATTCCAGGAACCAATTTGGGTTCTGCCAGAGACCAACACTGGCCTGAGCACGCATCTTGATGTCTACACCT